ACCTTGTTATTTCAGACTCCACAGCACACCACCTTGACTTTCAGACTCTATAGCGCACCATCTTGTCATTTCAGATACCACAGCTCACCACCTTGTTATTTCAGACTCTACACACACCACCTTGTCACTTCAGACTCCAAAGCACACAATCCTGCCATTTCAGCCTCAACGGCACACCATCTGGTCATTTCAGGGTCCACGGCACACCACCTTGTCATTTCAGACTCCATAGCACACCACCTTGCCATTTCAGACTCCATAGCTCACCACCTTGTCATTTCAGACTCCACAGCACTCCACCGTGTCATTTCAGACTCCACAGCACACCACCTTGTTATTTCAGACTCCACACACACCACCTTGCCATTTCAGACTCCACAGCACACTGCCTCGCCATGTCAGACTTCACAGACATTTCAGACTCCACAATTCACCACCTTGTCATTTTAGATTCAACAGCACACCCCCTTGTCATTTCAGACTCAACAACTAACCACCTTGTCATTTCGTGCGCAACAGCACACAATCTTGCCATTTCAGACTCAACAGCTCACCACCTCATCATTTCAGACTCCACAGCACACCATCTGGTCATTTCAGACTCCAAATCACACCACCTTGTCATTTCAGACTCCACAGCACACCACCTTATCATTTCACTCCACAGCACACCATCTTGACATTTTAACTTGTCATGAATATCCAAAATGAAATCATAATCCATAATTACCAATAAAAGATTAACAATTGCTTGAAGTGACAAATCTAAGTTTATTTTTGGATGATAAAACAGATGTATAAATATGGGTTCCCAGTACACATTCTGAAATAAATTATTGTGGCATCAGGACTGTATTATAATATTCGTTGTACTAATTATGTCTACTAAAATTAATATCATGTGATTACCATGTAATATGACAGGACGCTTTTAGTGACATACTGGATGCCATCCATTATTACAAAAATGTTTGTCAAAAAGAACCTAATAAAACCTAAAATAAACCCTTTAATGCCCAATATATTCGCCAGGTGTTATTACTGTTTCACAGTACAGTCTGGCCTGTTGCACTGTACCCATAATAAACAGTTCATTCAAGGTGAAATACCCCAGAATATCAATATTATACTGAAAGGCAACGATATGTTCTGGCACATCGTGATGACTTCAGGAGGTATCACCAGTATTTGTTGGTCTACGATATACATTCCTTTCAACACACTGAACAATCCAATCTATACTCTCATTAACTCCATCTCTGGAAAATAAAACCAGTTGTAAAATTATTCTATTTCTATGTTTTTGCATGTAGCATAAAATCACATCATACTAAAACATAACTTAATCATTACAAGCTTTCCTTGTGAAAATCCAGATGGATGGATACAAACTAACATTACAATCTTTTCTTTGCATGGAAAATAATGGCCAAAATTTAAAGTCATCATAATCATATTTAATTTTCATGTTTAGGGAATATCATGGCATATGCTTGGAAGACCATAGCATATGGATGAGAATCTATGCATACAGATTAACCATATATATAAGTTTGATAGATTGTTACTCATAATGACTTTTTGAAGAAACGATTTAAAGAAATTCAAAGGAGACACTGATATGGAGGATATAGTCAGAAGGGGTCAGATAGAACATCAAATTGGAGGACATAGTATGTGTTTAATATTGTTATGGAAGCACACAATTGATTGACAACTCACCCTGTCAGTGCAGATGCACCTCTAATTTTACAGTCTCTCTTTCCAATTTTTGCAGCACTTTGATTAAATAAAGACTTGATTTGGTCAACTTTCAAGCATCCCTATCATGTCAAACAAAGTGGGATACATTACACTCGTACATTAGTATCATACTGAATTATCAAACAATATAAAAAAACAATTGTTAACATTTATGCTTTGCAAGGTGTGTGTACTTGATCAGGTCTATTCAATGATGTCTACCACTATGTTTACATTGTGTACTTGATCAGGTCTATTCCATGATGTCTACCACTATGTTTACATTGTGTACTTGATCAGGTCTATTCCATGATGTCTACTACTATGCTTACATTGTGTACTTGTTTAGGTCTATTCCATGATGTCTACCACTATGTTTAATTCATGTACTTGTTTAGGTCTATTCCATGATGTCTACTACTATGTTTACATTGTGTACTTGTTTAGGTCTATTCCATGATATCTACCACTATGTTTAGTTTGTGTACTTGTTTAGGTCTATTCCATGATGTCTACCACTATGTTTAATTCATGTACTTGTTTAGGTCTATTCCATGATATCTATCACTATGTTTAGTTTGTGTACTTGTTTAGGTCTATTCCATGTCTACCACTATGTTTAATTCATGTACTTGTTTAGGTCTATTCCATGATATCTACCACTATGTTTAGTTTGTGTACTTGTTTAGGTCTATTCCATGTCTACCACTATGTTTAATTCATGTACTTGTTTAGGTCTATTCCATGATATCTACCACTATGTTTAGTTTGTGTACTTGTTTAGGTCTATTCCATGATGTCTACTACTATGTTTACATTGTGTACTTGTTTAGGTCTATTCCATGATGTCTACCACTATGTTTAATTCATGTACTTGTTTAGGTCTATTCCATGATATCTACCACTATGTTTAGTTTGTGTACTTGTTTAGGTCTATTCCATGATGTCTACCACTGTTTAATTCAAGTACTTGTTTAGGTCTATTCCATGATGTCTACCACTATGTTTAGTTTGTGTACTTGTTTAGGTCTATTCCATGTCTACCACTATGTTTAATTCATGTACTTGTTTAGGTCTATTCCATGATATCTACCACTATGTTTAGTTTGTGTACTTGTTTAGGTCTATTCCATGTCTACCACTATGTTTAATTCATGTACTT